GTGTTTGGTTACAAAACGGAATTTTTGGTGAAAATATATTCGATGAATAAACGCAAAGTAGTTCCAAAAAGAAGTGGACGAGAAGTCACGANGGATTAAACGTAGGGCATCTGGTGCCATGGGTGAAGCCGCTATATGCATTGGCTGTAGAGCAGGTGGAGATCCGGTTGTTGAAGTTATAAAGATGTGTCAGCGATGCTGATTGCAGTATGTCTCGACTGGGATTGCAGAGAACTTTGGGCTTCCGAAGCCAAATATCTAGTCGTGGTCTAGTTTTGGGTTGCAAAAATGGTGAATCACCATGGATTCGAACCTTCCACCGTGCGGGTTTGGGACGTAACCCTTACCCTTTGCGCTCCCGACACAGTGAAATAGGTCCTTCGCCTTGCATTGACATGCATCACATTTGATACACAACTGATGCAGAATAACAAAACCTTGAAGATTCCGAACCGCAGACCTCCCAAACGTCAGTCCGAACCCTTACCCACTAGGCCTCCACAACACGGTTGAATTGAGTGCCTGCAATACACATGCAGTTAACACAACGGATGACGCTCACTTGGAATGTTCACTTTGAGCCTCTTGTTACCAGTTAGGGTTACAGTAATGTAGCCGATCCACAACACCTTCCCCCCAAGCTCATCAACAAGCTGTCTCTACCTCTCCCCATCCTGTGCGGCTTCTCTGATGCCTTGCTAGCCTGCCATGACTCTGCTCAACTTTTGCACTGCTCCCATTGCATCACCTTTTCTGCTCACGGCGTATCATCCGCTGCTTGTATGTTAGCGATTGTCTGCCGGAGAGAGCAAAGGAACTTTGGACTGACTCCTTTTCAGGTGTCATGAACAAAATCCCTCTCCCGGAACCTGGGCATTTTTGTCGAATGCGTAAAGCTATTAGAAGCTTTTAGATCTCTTTCTCATTTTGATAGACATCTTAGCCATTTCAAGAATTAATGACGAATGTTGAGCCACTGCTGTATCATGGGCTTCACAAGTTTAAAACAACAGTGGAAATCCCGTTCTCAACACAAGTTTGCCTGTTTGCTCCCCATACCCGAAAGCGCCGTATTTGGGACTGCTCCCGAGCGGTGCGCGCCTGCCTCATCACGAGAATCCATGAGGAAGGCGTGCACCGCTCGGGCATACCACGGCTCCGGCATCTTTTCCCTGGAAACGAGAGGTCGCGCTCGCCGCACTTGATTGCACGTTATGTGAGGAATTGTTTGAATTCCCAGTGGGTGGATACGGTAGCCACCGGGTGACCACAGCCGCTTGCCGTGGATGTTCGAAGAGAAGTTCCGTCACCCGCGTATCACGGAAGAGGGAAGAAGCGGAAAGAATGAGCGGGCATAGCTTCTAGGGCTCATCTACGGCTTGTCCGGTAGGCAGCTTCAACTGGCTTTCCTTCAATCATTCCTGGCTCAACCGTACCAGTTGCCCGACGCCGAACACCCATCTAGCGCCTATCAGCCACCTATCGGTAGCCGTGTACCCTCAACGACCGTCAGATACGAGCGGAACCTCCGTATCATCGCATGTACCGCATACTGTACTGTTCAACTTGTGGAAGTCACCTAGTAGGAGGGCCTAGAGAAAATACACTGTCCAAAGATGGTAGTGGGTAATGGAGTGGGAGGGCGTATCGACCAACGACTATTGAATACGAGATCAATCGGCATGGCCTAGTCACCTAGCAAACGAACTCAGCTACTGTTCAGTGATCAGTTCCGGTCAAAACCCGGCACCCTCCACCCTCGACCTCCCCCCTGCCTCCCCTACCCCTGAGGCAATCTCTACCCATCTACCCTCTCTTACTTAATGAGTTTTACCAGTAATAGAATAGTAACAGGTACGGTACTCATGATGAGTAAATGCTGTTGAGGACCTCGGCTCAACGGCCGGTCCACACTCCATATTACTGGACTCAGCCGGTGAGCCGAGACCACGCCCACCCTGGGAGCACTTGAAACAGCTGGTACAGACCGACTCCCCACCAGCTTTATCACAGTCAATCGTTGGCCCAACAATTTTGTTCGAGCGTCATGGGTGAGTGCTGTCCCCACAACGCCCTTTTTGCTCCCTTCAGGGATGCTCCCTGTGCATGCTGCATAGAGGTGCAGATGGGCTTTCAACCTCTTGATCTTCAGATTTTGCTCAACAGCCACATGTGTGGCATAAAATATTTTGTGAAAGATGTTTTCAAAAAACAACGGCAGGAAACTATCACTAATTTGAACCTTGGGTCCTGTAGATGCCAGCCTACATTACTATCCATTAGGTTACCGTTACGACAGTCCCGCTCAGGCACGATCACAACAGACTTCTACTTCATATTGCCTCCCTTCACCCATTACTTAGTACGCTTACATAACCGGTACTTACACCGAATTTTACTTATGTAAGGGTCTCCAATCGCCCTTACCCATCCGCCTGGTACCCTGCATCCTTGCGAGCAGGTCCACAGGGAGCGTCAACGACCCGGCTGCTCCCTTTCCCGACCCAAGTGAAACGTACCTCGTAGAGCAGGATATCGCGCAGTGTTACGTTCAAATCGCTGCACGATACAGACGGTGCTCCTCGGTGTCTGTCGCTTCCATTGTTTTGTTTACACCACTGTTGGTAAATATTGGCTGCTGGGATACCATTATGCGAGCAGAATTCTGTAGGAGGAAAGTACGTTTTACAAATTCTTCTTTTTTGGGAATTTTTACATTTATAACCACTTTCCGAAAGCTGCAGATGGGACGAATAGAATTTGCAATAGAATTCTATCCCCAGAACATTCGTACAAAACTGTAGGTTCCGGCGAGATTCGAACTCGCGTTACTGGATTCAAAGTCCAGGGTGTTAACCGCTACACTACGGAACCGATACGAGCAGCGCGCAACCGTAAGCTTCGTTCGCATCTCCGCGACTACTGCGGCTGCGAAGCTGCAGTGCGATGCAAACGAAGCTTATATCAATATTGTGGACGAAACATCGGTGATCCAAGTTGGTACTAACCGTGGGATCCGACCGTGGGACTTTGGATCATGGGTAACTATGCCTATCTGATAAACCAATCGCCGACCTCGACATCCTTTTGACAGTGGCTTGGGGAAGCGTTTCCCGGGTGTTGCATGACAGCATCTATCCACCTCACAAGACGGAACTACGTAGGGTTTCAAAGGGCAAGATGTTAAGCACGCATTACCCAAAAACCAGAATAAGCGGTACCACTCGAATTCCACCAGGAACTTCCTCTTGGGAGTAAATTCCTTCGCACTGTCATGAAACCAATTTGTAAACTTTGGGCCCTCCTACGACCCCATTGGAACCGAGCAATGTTCTCCCACAACAGTGAATCGGTCGCTAAGTCGCTAAGCGTTGCCACTGTATCTAAGCTACGCTCATGGTGGATCTAAATGCCACGGCTCACAATGGCCCCACCCAATGATCCAACGATGAACCATATCTCAATCAGGCAGAATGCGCCAACTTCTACGAAGGGAGAGGCAAGAATTCCTTGCTGCATTATTCATGCTAGACAGTTACAGAACGAGTCTTCTGTTTTGGAAGGGGTTAGAAGCCGTAGAAAACTCTGGAAGTTCGTGTCTGAAGGGCTACCATAGAACCCGCGATGTAGAAAGTTGAATGCATATCTTGAATCTCCAATCTGTTTGAAAGAAACGTTTTTCTATGGGAGCACCTCCTCTACTAAATCCCCGATGCATGGTATGCGAAAGTCTTGCCACCACTGAATCGAATGTGAATCGCCGTAGTGCTTATAAAAATTACGAAGCCGCTTGATTGATGGCCTTTCTGGAAGCGCTGAGCAAAAACAGAATAGAAATCACTTCTTGAATTGAAATCGGTGGAAATCATATGGGTGGCATGATTTTCCGTCGATACAGCTATCATTAGTGAAAACACTTCTCGCAAGCGTGCACCATGCAGCGATGTCCGAGTGGTTAAGGAGATTGACTCGAAATCAATTGGGCTCTGCCCGCGCAGGTTCGAATCCTGCTCGCTGCGAACTTTTTGCATTTTGTCAGATAACTCAAAATTTTGGGAGAATGCAATCAAAAGATGATACACATTCCACAGGATGCTTGATTGATGAAAGAAGAAATGTAAAATAATCGATTCCACCACTGAACAAACAACTCCGGTCGTCTCTCCCAGTCTAGCGCGCCCTAAGAATCGATATAACTCCGATTTTCTCCAAGAGAAAATACCATTCAAATCTGGACAATTTCACATCCTTTCCGGCGCAGCTCATCCGATATGACCGGCTTCTTACTGGCTGTTGTTCGAAGCCTAGCTGCTCAGCTGCAAGCCACTATTCGTGCAGCTTGGTCACCTTTTTTATCAGTAGGGCTTTCCTGTGTCCTTTCTAACGATTCCTATGCCCTTCAGTTGTTGTCTTTGGATGTGAAAGGACAAAGTACTGATGACATGGAGTTCCCGTAGAGCCTCGTCAGATTAGTGAGTAATGAACGTAACCATTTTAGCGCTTTCAGGGGTCAACTAATCGGTCAAGATCCCTCAGCACTTCAAACCACGCACGAGAACCTTTTTCCACCATCGTTGTCCATGGCGTAACCCCCCCCCCCCACTTTTTTTTTGATTCGTGGTACTCTTTGACTTGGTAGGACAGAATAATAATCCAGGGCGGTGCTGGGGAGCTCATGATGCTTTAAGAATCGGAACCTCGAGAAAGGAATAAAATGAGCTGGGCAGAACTCCATGGCAATGTTAAATGTTTTGGTACCGTCACTTACTGACGCCTTTTTAGCAAATTTCGAAACATGTAAGCATTGTGACAAGCAAAACATTTAGTTTACAAATATTTATATAACAAAATGTACAACAACGATGTGACAGTGGAATGGATCTGTTCAAGATCGGATGCTCATCCTGGCTTTATCCATGATTTCTTTTTTAATCTTTGGATATGTAGGATAGAGCTTAAGCACATGATGACATACTTCAATACAATCAAACAGGCGTTTGCATTTGAGTAGATTGTACGCTAACTTGTACCCTGGAAAGGAAAATCTAAATGAAAATCAATCAAAAAAAAAGACCACTAGATGTAATTAATATAAAAACCAGGGAAAAACTTTACAACTTCTAAACTTCGAACAGAAAAAAATGGTATCGAAAGTTTTTGTAAATTTCCTAACGAAGGACCCCGAAACTTCAAGTGCATAGTGTGACTATATAGTTTCCTACCCATATCAGCTACAAAGAAATCGGAACATTCAGGGATCACGTTCACTTGGATGAAGCCATGATACACGTTTCTTTTAGGAAAAAATTAAAACTGAAAACTGACCGATGGCTGGATTTCGCATTCGGCTCAATTTCCATGCATCATCATAATTAGCTGCAGCATCATGGAACTTCTGTTCACGTTCCCGTAAATAACCAAGAAATTCGAAGGCTTTTATTGAGCTCTGAACAGAATAATAATGAGCCCTTGTATGGGAAGGTTCGAGACGATCACAACGATGTCGGTGGCAACGCAACACAGCGTAGGTCCAATGTAAACCGATCGATAAAGATCAATTTATCATGACGATCTTAAGTTATTCCATTCTGACACATACTGTTCATACCAGCTGTCCTGCTGAACAGGTCATGTGTTTGTGTTCCTGAGCCACTGGCGGAGGAGGACAAGTGGAGATGCGTGGGATCCGTTGGTGTAAAGGAAAGCGAGATGTTCGGACCACAGCTGCAGGTTCGGGTTCCATTTTTTTCCACAAGTGATGGGTAACTCAAGCTTTTCGAGCGAACTGATGACTGTTACTCTCTTCGGGTCAAAATGTTGCCGATTTTTCTGATAATTTCTGACTTTTCGTGATATTTTTACCTTCACTGCGTGGAGCATAGTTTATCGGCCACGAAGAGAACAAAAAAGTCGACAGAGATAACTCTTTCTGAACCAATCATTCAAGGCTGGACGGTGTTATAACGATAAGAAGGCATTTGAAAGAGATTCCTGTCACTGCAGAGCAACAGGTGTTAGCTACTAGCGTGCGTCGGTTGACTACACTTACAACAATCATGCTCCTTTTTGAACGTATCGGTCTCTACATACCACGAATCATACTCTTTCTAAGGTGTATAGAATGGCAGTGGATCGGTGCTGATTTTTGAGCCCTCATTATCCTCCGCTACTCTCGCTTCGCTATTCAGCCCGACAATGCCCGTGTGGTCTTCTCAGGAATTCTGGATTCCTACCAAAAAGAAATCTCCGAAACCATTCTGACATAGAGTGTGTCCTTCACAAAATCTATGACAGCAGAAAAAGCATGGGTATTCCTTTTATATTAATGATTGCGTGCGATCAAAGACAAACATATCGATACTATGAAGCGTATCCCTTATACAACTGAGGGTGTTCGGTTAAGTGTGAAAAATTGAAATGATCCATCCCTCAGCTTTATTGCAGACGACGATTTTAATTTAATTTTGAGCTCTTATTCTTCTGAGTAGACAATTTCACATTCCTCACCCTACTTGGCCATTATGCAAGAAGGATAGCCATTAGGTCATTATAGTCGCTCTAGTTTTAATGGACTAGAACTTCATAACGTCCATCCTTTCTTCGAAGTTTTTCCTTTCCTTAGGACAGCGAAAGCTTTTAGAGACATGAGGGAGAAAAAGCCGAAGAACCTGCCAATTTACTTAAATATAGCCCCCGTTCTTAGATAAGGACGGCACTGCCAATGCTAAGCTATTAAGCATAAGTGAGGACATCGAATTAGAGATTCTAATTTAAATTAGAGACAAAAAAATTAAGAGACCGAA